CACACACACACACACACCCACCACCCCACTTGTAAGTCCTTCTTTATGGAGCTCCAGCCACCCAACGGCCTCCACGATTTGTGTATATGTCCCATACTTGCGTGGGCGGCGGGCGACGGGTCAGCAGCTGACCTCTCACCTGCAGGTTTACCTGTGCTCCGTCACGAGAGTCCCATTAATCGCAAAGCCACAACTTTCCTGGCGATTACTTGATCTGCAAGACTTGTGTTGGTAGCAGGCTGCAGGCTTATATATCTATAACAAGCAGGACCCTGCTTTATCGAGTACCTTCGGCTCGGCCCCATAAGGTTGCATCATTAAAGCTTTAAGAGCACCTAGAACGTAAATCTGCCAAAAGAACATGTGATTTGATTATCACTATTTGAATCATGCAATATTATAACAATGTTAAACTCTCTAGACTCTGCACAAACCGTTTCATCTGCACCGATTTAATAAAGGGTGCCAAAGGTAGGGGGGGGGCGACGTCCCCTTAAAGTGGGGCAATGGAGTCGACCCCAACTTGCCCCTATCAGTCCCCCTACATCCACCAAAGTTTAGTGAGGCTAGCCCCTAGCCTCCAACCTTAGACAGCCAGACATTCTGTTTTATATAGATGTAACATATTTCTCTTCTTCGTTCCAGAGTATTGAGTGTTTTAAGAGCTGTGTGGGTGACGGAGGCGTCACACGGTGTGGAGGTGTGCAGGAGGTCTCTGACGTGACGCCTGGCGGGGAGGCGAGTACCGACAAGTGACAATGCGTTTATTGGGTCATTTGAATCGCTGAAATCACTGAAAACATTTGAAACCCATGTTTTGAAGGTTCTCTTAGTCCACCCTGTCATTCCGGGTGACGCTAAGTTTGCCTTGTTATGTTGCTTTCATTCTATGCGAAGATCTGAATGTGTCTTTTATTATGTGTTCAATTTGTTTGGAATGTTGTCCATATATATGTGGTTAATGTTTGTCACTGTTAAGTTCCTGTTGAACACTGGAACACTTCTGTCATATAGTAGTGTGCTCAGATTGGATTTTGGTCGTTTCATTGTTGCTCTGTGGCCATCGCTGGCTGACAAAACCGTCAAACACGAGGCCTTCACAGAGACCGGGCCGCGGAAACATTGATCCTCGGAACTGACTCAAGGTAACTTGAAGGTATCACTGTGCTTGGAATTCCTTTGTATCTAGATTAATATAACATTCCGTGGTCACATTTACGAAAAGTTTGCATATACGCTTGTGTTGCAGTGTTGCCTGCTGCATGCTTCAGCGTCGCATGTAGAGCAGCAGTTGCAAAAAGCAGGATCTTCCTGCTTGTGTGCCCTGAACATCAGAACACTCCACTACAAAGTGTGCAACTCTTAACGGAACAATTCCGTCATGTCAGTGAGGTTTCTGTTCCATTCAATACTACTTGAGTCAATCGTGTATGGCCTAACGAACTTAAATCTATCCAATTTGATCAAACTGAAAATGCCATTAACAATTACTATGACTCAATCCCTGTTGATTGACACTTAAGAGACGGGATCAAAGAGCCAAAGCTCAACCCCCCGCAAGCGCAACTAGGCGAGTACCATGACCACAGGTTGACAAACAAATCATTCCTTCAAGAATATCATAAAAAAAGTGTTTATTGCTCTTTTTAAACCCCAATTGGAGTTGGAGTAACCAAGCTGTGATGGAAGGTTGGGGGATCAACGCGTCGCATTGATTAACGAGAGTGTATTGTCCTTGTGTGTAGCAGGCATTTATCATTTTTGTTTGTTTGGGCGTAAAGCTTGCCCCCGATGAATGTTCAATTATATCGTGACGATTATTCACCTGCAGGGGAAAAACACGGACCATGAGCATCCATCATTGTGTGGAGGCCGGTTCCCGCGCCGATGTCCCCCTCACGCCTGGATAAAGTAGACCACTCACACCTCCTTTCCTGGTACACCAGGGCTGACTCCCGTGTCAGGGGTAGGACACTTATCGTATGCAAACTTAGCACTGTGTGGCTCTAGGGGGCCGTCTTACTATAGAGTGGATCAAGGGGTTAAACTTAACAGTGTGGCTAGAGGCAAGCTTAACATAGTGTGGCTCTATGGGGCTCAGTGATCAGTGCTACTTTAGGGTACAGCTCAGCACATTGTGGTTTAGGGGCAAACTTAGCAGTTTCGCTCTAGGAGCAAACTTGGCACATTTTGACTGTGGGACAAACTAGGCACAGTGTGGCTCTAGGGTCAAACTTGGCATAGTGTGGTTCTAGGGGCAAATTTAGTAGTGTGTCTCTATGGGGGGCAAACATAGCCAAATATTGTTCTAGGGACAAACTTAGAAGTGCGTGAGGAACTCGTGTCGCCGAAAAGTTGAACATACACTATTGTAAATACAACTTAATTAAGCAACAGTACTGAACTAGATCCATAGTATTTCCTTGTTGGTACGCGCGAGGCCAACAATATACGTTGATATTATAAACGTATAAAATGGCACATCGTCATTCATTATTTGCTTGAAGGTTTATTCTTAGAATATTTAAAGTACCTGTATATAGATAGCATCATATGGCTTATTTTTCAATGAGTTCTGGAAACCTATTCCAGGGTTTCCATGAATCTTCCACAATGGTTCCTCGAATCTTCCTCTGGGATTACGTGAATCTCTGGGGTTCTGCGAGGAAATATATAGCAAAATAAAATATTTATCACAAAATAAATAAGATTTTCACAAAATACATTGTTACGCTCTTGAATCTGTATCATACGTTCCTGATCCATATTTTAGGGGCTCCACCATAGTACGAAGGTTGGGAATGAACTCTTATGAGTATATATATTGAGTTCTCACACGTAGTGGCCATATATGGGCTACATCAACAAGTGAACTACGGCGTGCGATGATCATAGAGTTTATCGAGGAAAGGGAATTGTCAGGGGAAAGCGCCAAGCTATTACGACTATATCGCACTTGGAAGGGGTCAGGATAAGGATTTGAGATGGGACGGGGGGGAAGGGGATGGGAAGGAATGGTGTCCACAACCACTAGGACGGTCGGGAATTGAACGCCGACCTGCATGATGCGAGACCGTCGCTCTACTGTTCAGCCCAAGTGGTTGGGTTAGAATTTATCAAGATAATAACTACACAAATTACTGGAAAAGATAAAGGCAAATGAAGAGGACATTCGACAAGCCACCGGCTTCCTGTCCTCGTCGAGGCTACTAATGTTAGTGGCTCTCGGGTAAATCAAGTAAATATGTAATTACCTAAGTTTCCTTACGTTCTTTTTGAAATGGAGGCTCCATGATGGAGAAGAATACTTCAGGATTGGTTTCATGTAGGTGTCTGGTGATCTGAACCTTCTGTATTTAAGTTTCTGAATGATGTTCTGACTTTTGCCACTGTTGAATACATTGCTGACGTTATCCTAGTCATGTCCAACTCTGGAATTAGGCTTCATGCTAATCAACTTCTAGGTGTTTTTCTGTAGTCATTATTGGGAGTTAGTATCTCCTCATTATATAGTTCTGCTGTCTCCTGTTCCCAATTTCATCACCTAGCAAGTGTTGAAATCTAGTAGCCAGAAAACGAAGAACATAAGAATAAAAGTAACTGCAGAAGGCCTATTGGCCCATACGAGGCAGCTCCTATTTATAACCGCCCAATCCCACTCGTATACATGTCCAACCCACGTTTGAAGCAATCAAGGGGCCCCCCACCTTCACCACATTATGCGGTAATTGGTTCCATAAATCAACAACCCTGTTACCGAACAAGTATTTACCCAGGTCTTTCCTAAATCTAAACTTATCCAATTTATACCCAATGTTTCGTGTTGATACTTTTAATACCCTATTAATATCCCCTTTGTAAGACATTCAACAAGGATGAAGGTCTGTTCCACTAAGTGTCCATCAATTAACTGTGTGGACAATACATAATCCAGCCACACACACACTTTTAAAGATGGGTCACATTTTATTGTATGTAATTTGGTATTCACAATAGCTAACCACCAATCTCTTCAAAGGCTGTGGATTGTGTTATGAATGATAGGGTAGAAGTATAAGTAAGGAATTAGCTTCTGGGAGATGGGACAGACACAAACAGCCTCTTTATTGATGGTATCTGCAGTCACTGAAAACATTGTCAATATAGCTAGGAGCCTAGCAAAGTTCAGCATCTTAGATCTATTTAAAAGAAGGTACAGCCTTTGTACTACATAAAGAGAAGAATTAAAGATTCCAGGGCCATTAGAGAACTACTTGTGTGCATTACAATTACAAATGATTGTTGACACAGGGAAAGTATTTTTTTTTTTTTTTTGAGGGAAATTCCTGTGCGGGCTCTAAGCCTCTGGCTGGCCCACTAAGAAAAGTAACTGTCTTGTAGCTTATAAGTGTGTATGAAGCTTCACAGTAAAATTACTTGTCTCTGGAGTAAGGCAGCACAAGGTTCTCTCATGGCAAATAACTGCAAAGTCAATGCCATCAGCAGATTTTCACCAGTCTGTCGAGATAGCAGTAGTGCACTAACGATGGAAATGTTAAAGGAAAAGGCATTTCAATTGGGAGGTACATTTTTTTTATAGGAGAAAGCACCAAGCCATTATGACTATATAGCACTTGGAAGGGATCAGGGATGGGACAGGGAAAAGGAATGGTGCCCAACCATTTGGACGGTCGGGATTGAACTCCAACCTGCATAAAGCGAGACCATCGCTCTACCGTCGAAGCGAAGGCTTTGCAAAATTTTACAATCGGGATCCTCCATTACAGTAAGGTGGCACAGTTAGAAGGAGCACATTGTGAATATGCAGAAATATTCCTGCAAGCATGTAATCAGTGCTGTCAAGGACTGCAAAGCAGAGCATGCAGGGCTTTAATAAGGAGCATCTGTTACAATTGTATCTGTTAATGATGACGTTGGAGGCTCCATGTGAAGTACTAATTAAGGATGTGCTATGCATATGTGCCATGATATCCTCATCCAAAAGTTGCATAAAAACAAAATAATTAATCTTCTTTATTACAAATTTACTTTCATTTAATTTAAAAAAAATCATTTACTGTACCTTTAATACTAAATAAACAATTATCAGGATGCTTGTTACTAGGAATCATATTACAACCTTGATAATCGTAATCATACTACAAGCTTGGGAAAAATACCCCCATTCTATACCAGCATAATATTCATTGGTACCTGTATATGTAACAAATGGCATAACTGCACTACAAATGAAAACACTATAGCTAAAAGGAATGTTTTATCTTCTTAAATCTCTACCTTCAATTTGTTTTTCATGCAGTGTTGCATCAAGACTTTATATCCCACCCCACACAAAGATGTCAGTAAATGTTTCAAGTACTTCTGTTGAATATCAAAATGTGGTCAAAATTTGGCTAGAATTCTACATACATGTCACTGCCATAAACAAGGAGTTCAAGTACAGTCAGCTTTTGGCCTTATGCAGAGATAGGTTGCAAGATACCTCACATAGCGTGACAAAGAATATTGTCAAAGACTTTGCGTTAATACTTGTGTTTTACACACTCGTGAAAAAGGACTACACATATGGTTAAGCTTCAACAATGCCCAAGACTATGTAGAAATTTGAATGCCAAACATTACCAACTGTGCAGGAACTTTGTTCTAGTTTACATTCTTCTCGAAATTTCACTTTTAAAGTAGTTATTTGATAAAAAGTAGTTAAATATACTCATATGTAATGTTACATTGGGATTTGCAATATGAAAGACAAGTCTATAAGAGACCTACAACAATCAACAAAATTTAGCTAATATTGTAATAAGTGAAACTAGTAATATCATTTACTAATAGCAATGAAATTTCCATTATCTTCAAGCACTATGCCTTCGTTAAGATTAAAACAATAATGCCTTAAACAACTTTCTAATAAAATGTCTTGTATAGATTATTTATACATTCATGACCTGTAGTGTAAATATAACTTGACTGCAATTCATTTAATAAATAGCTTAAGGAATTATACAAACAGTTTCAAAATATTTTACAAAAATTTAGCTATAATTACACAATAACAAAATATATTACAAAATATATTACTTGCTAATATTACATAAGATTAATATGCTGCAAAATTATCAAGACTCTGACCATCTTTACATACAGTATGCATATTATACGACTGATGCATCACTTTTACCACTTGCACCTAAATTCCAAGGAAATCAACAATTTTCTTTGCAGATTACTAGGGTTTTGTACCAAGACATGCAATGCTCCAACAGAATAGAGCTGAAATGTAAATGTTTGTGAGAAGTGTAAAATTGCTCTTATTTATACAGTAGTTGGTAGTGAATAATGAACAGGTATCAAAGAATGAAAATATCCACAAGTGGAATGAAGGAATAACAAAAACGGCCATTTCAGTGAGGTACATTGAGGACAGTGAGAAGAGAAGGTGAAAAGACTGAAGGCAGAACACTTGGGAAGGAGAGGAAACACAAAGATGACAAACTAGCCACTGAAAATACCAGTCATTTATAGGCAGATGGGCAAGACAATACAGTACATACTGTATACAGTACTGTACATTCGTACTGTATATTATGAGCAAAATTGGCACACCTCACAAATTAACAAAAACAATTAGTTTCTCATCAGAGAACCTGATGAAATAAACAAGTAAATTACTTTTAGCAAGTAGGCTGGCGAGTAACAATAATTCTATGGAATTTTATTTTGAAACCTTTCATGTAACTCGTCCTTATCATGTTTAGATTTATTATGTTTGTAAGTGTAATCATCAATCCAAGTTTTAATATAAGCCTTTTCAGTTATTCTAGCATCTATGACTGACTGAGGGTCTCCAGGGTTTGAACCTCTGAGGTCCAGGTGATGTGCTCCCTCAGGTATAATAACAGAGACAACAGTGTCACTCACATTCCAGAGAACGCCACCAGTTGACCAGGGATCCAGTAACCCATTGCTGTAACATATGAAGTTCTCATCAACATACAGTATAGTAATATATATAGAGTATAGGTCAGTTGTTTATAGAAGAATCTTATTACACACACAAGCCAAAAAAGAAGGCAAACAATGTGAAAAATATCTTATTCCTACCTGAATACAATATTGCTAGCTGCTGAAATATCCTTCCCGCCATACATATGAGCAACCATAAATGGTCGAGGGTAAACACCCCATTTATTGTAGCAGTCCTCTGCAAATGCCTTGAAATCCCAGGGTGCTGGCTCGAAGAAATCATTTATGCCATCATAGCAAAATGGCATCACCATCTCTGTACATGCCTATAAAAGAGAGTCCATATTATCACTCATTTTGAATAATACATTACATCATACTTTTAAATACTTAATTGCATTTCTAGTCTGTTGCCATTTCTTTACTGTGCTCAATGTACTATATCTTGAAGAATTTGTAATATACATGAATTAAGTAATTAACAAAAGAAGGCACCAAGATTGGAGTATATATGAAGTGAATCTGTGCTTGGCTCCAAGAAATGTTTATACCATTCACTTAGATATTGTTGCCTTAGCTCTTGGTGCAGTGTCTTACTCACTCTCCAGCAACTTCCAATTTGAGTGCCTTTATTTGAAACTTATAGGGCATAATTTTGACTGTTATCATTCAAAATTTCAAGAGAGGTAATTTTAGACATGCTGATTCAGGTTAAAAGATCAAAAACATTAAATTTCTTAAGTTAAACATTTGTTCATACATTTATTTATTATTTTCTTAATTCATATTATGGAGTCGTATTCAGTCTGCATAAGCTTCCAACACCCATTTTCTGTGGAGAGCCCCTCCGGTTCCCTGGAGCTATATCGGGCAGATGTGTATGTATTAGACTATGGCAACAATCAATCGATGGAGTTCTAGGCCTACCGGGGACCATGAGCCAGAACCTGGCCCCCTCAGAGAGGAATGAAGAGCAATGGCTTATAGACATCCCCATGTAGTTGGAAGCAGTCTATGTCTGCCATCTACCAGGACAGGCACCCAAAAAGGTAGGAATCCCAAAACAAACTATAGCTGGTTAAACATTGTAAACTGAAAGCCAAACGAGCAAGTAGGACTCTCCAATCAGAAAACAAGCAAACAAGCATGATGTCACCACAGCTGCCGCGCCACTGCCTATGCAACTACCCCCTCCCCGGGAGGGGAAAGGGGGGGATCCCAGACCTCATGCGCTGGCTACCCAACCCCAGTTCAGAGACTGTTGTGTTGGGTGGTGGTCGATCAACTCTGGCTCCAATCTTTGAGCCGTGTTGTGCCTTCCGGTATTGTGCTGCGGTGTGGTGGTGTGCGAACCAGGTGTTATTCCAGAAGTACTGGGGCTGCATGCACCTAGGGTTCCCTTCCCTAGGTGCCCTGTAAGTACTGCCCTTGCAGTTTTGGGTTACCTTCCACAAACTGGTCGGGGGCTACCTCCGCAGAGTTCTTTTGCTGCTTGGTGATTGCCCGCCCTTGGGGTCAACTGGGTTTTTTTCTGGGTCAACTGGGGGGGTGAGTGAGTTGGAGCACCTCAATGTGTGCTTGTTCTCCCCTGTGCTTCCTTGCGATATCGGCCAGGTACAGCTTCACGTGCAGGTTCCCTCCTTTTCCTTCCTGGAGCTGTCTTCGGACTGGCTCGAGGAGGATGTGGAGGAGCTGGGTTCCGGGCTGGTGTCTGGTGTACTTGCCTCGGCAGCTAGGGTGTTGGCTGCCTTGTTGAAGTTGTTTGCATTGATTCTGAAGGCAGTGGTGTCTCTGTTCTTTACTTCTCACCTCACATGCCGACAGGCAGTGCTCCTCCACTCTTTGGAATCTGCTTGGGCCCTGGCTTTTAGATTTTTGTCCCCTTTTTGTCTGCTGCTGTTTGCAGAGTCTGCGGTGGTGAATTTTCTGCAGGCGGCTTCATCTAGTTGCCGGCCTATGTCGGACTTGCTGGTTCTCCGAGGGTGGGGGTGGGGGGGTGTCCTGCTGTGAAGGGTCATGCCAGGGCTCAGGGTTCCATCGGTAGTCGTAAGTCAATGGCGCCAGATTTGGGGCCGGCCACTCCTGCGAAGCTGTCAACGTCTGGTCGGTGCAGTGCTCACTCTGAACATTGGTCGGGCTCTCGTAAGGGTTGTCAGTTCTTTCGCAATTCACCCCGTTGACGGGGCGATGAGGGGGAAGGCTTGTACTGTTTGCTCACACCTGGTCCCACGATTTGTGGGCATTTCATGTTGTTTCCTCCAGCTCGCGGTGGCGTTGGGTGGCTCCTTCTCCTTCAGGAGGTTTGGGGCTGGCAGGGCAGGCCTCTTCACCTGCGCTCTGTTGGGTCATCCTGGAGCGGGTACTCTTGGGCATGGTCGAAACGACGCTGTCCATCAGGTGGGTTTCCTGCCTGTTTTCAGTTCCGAAACGGAACTGTGTGGACTTGAGGTTTATTCTGGACTTGTCCTCTGAACTCCTGTGTCTTTTGCCCCTTCTTTTGGATGACTACTCTGTCCCAGGTCCGGCTGCTTTTGGAGCCGGGCACTTAGATGGTGTCCCTGGACCTCTGGGATGCGTATTGACATGTCCCAATTCATCCGGGGTTCAGAGTCAGGCTCGGTTTTGTCATGGGGCGGCACGCTTAACGCTTTCGTTGCCTTCCATTTGGTTTAAGTCTGGTGCCTCACGTTTTTACACGCCTTACCCGGGACGTTGTGACCCATTTGCTTCTGTTAGGGGTTCAGGTTTTGGCTTACCTCAACGACTGATTGGTCTGGGCTTCCAGCTGGTCCGTGTATCTGCTCGCCAGGGATTTGGTTCTTTCCCAGCTCGCTGGGTTTAGGTTCTTAGTGAACTGGAGGAAGTCCCATTTGGTTCCCTCTTAGGTTCGGACTTGGCTGGGTCTTATGTGTGACTCTCAAACCACTTTCTTGTCTCTCCATCCAGCGATATTGCTGTGGCTGCAGTCCTGCCTTCGGCTGTTTTTGGGAAGGCACCCGAGTCACTCACTGGTTGCTTGAGCAGCTGTGCAGGAGTCTGAACTTTGCCGTGCTGGTCTACCCATTGGGTCGAATTCGGCTTTGGCACCTGTTCTGGTTCCTTCTTGGACGTCCTTTCCGCCGGTCTTGCAATTGCTGGGTTCGCACCCTGGGGGGCCTTGCATCGGCTGCTGTGTTGCTGGCTTCCTCTTAGGGTTTTTCGGGGTTCAGTGCCATGGCACCTACCCGAGCCCCTCGCTCGATGTGTTAACAGATGCGTCTTTTCTTGGCTGGGGCTTGTGTTCACCAGTGCTCACCAGGCCGGCCAGAGTCGGTGGGGTCCGTCCTTCCGTCGGGCTCGCAGCACGGTGCGGGAGTTTGCAGCGCTGTGGCTTTCACTTTAGAGGGTTCCTGTCAGTCACAGATCGACGATTTGGCTCCATTCAAACTTCTCCCTGGTGGTTCATTTCTTGAACCAAGGGGGGTTCAATGCAGTCCTTGGCTCTTTGGGGCTGGTCACTTTGAGTGAGTTGTCTGCTGAGTTCTCGGTGTTTGGCTTTCTTGGCGGTTCATATCCAGGGGGGTGTCCAATGTCCTGGTGGATGGCCTGTTCTGTATCATTCGCCTGTCCACACTATGGACGGTCGACGATGCCTCGTTCTTTTGGCTCTGCCGGACGTTCAAGTGCCCGGAGGTGGACCTCTTCGCGTCAGCATGGTAGAGGCATCTCCTGGTTTATGTTGGGTCCTTCTCCCTCTGCGAGGCTGTCAGGGTTGATGTCTTTCGACTGGACCAGTCGAGGTAGGGTTACCTGTACCTCTTCACCCCGGTTCGGTTGTTGCTCCAGATCCTGGCTTGCTTGGAGACTTACCAAAGGAGAGTAGTCCTGTTGGCCCCTGGTGACCGACCCAGCCCTGTTCACTTGATGAACGTGTCTATCATATTATAGGCTGAAATGAAAATTTCCCTAAGCAAAATTAACCCATAGGGGGTTGGAAATGCATTCTGTAGCCATCTCCAGTTGCAACAAATCCCTCACTGTAATGAATTGGGGTTGGTATCATACTGAATAGTTTGTTGAATCAAAGTTGCAGTGTACTTTGGGCTGAGATCTAAGGAGATATAGTAATAACCAAAGGAATATCATGAAATATTTAATTTCAGGAATTTCCACGTGCAACCAGTCTCTGGTAAGATTTAAAAAAAAAAAAAAATTGGAGAATAGCAGTAAAGATTATAAGCCAAATTAGCAAGTAGCAATAACAGTGATGAAAGATGTAGGGAAGTTAAAAGTACCCTAGGGTGCAAGCTAAGAAGATAATAACCAAAGAAATATCAAAGATATGTTTAATTTCAATAATTTTAACTTTTGATCTTGAAACCTTAAACAGAATGTATAAATCTTCCTTTGGTAAGGTTAATGATAATAAAAATTTGAATGAAAAGTGTCAAAATAAGGGCCTAAAAATGACCTGATTCAAGTTTTGTTGTTGAACTTAGTTGACAAACGTACATACGAACTAAAATCCTTTTCACTGCAGCATATAGCTTTACAAAAGATTGGGTTCAGTCTGAACAGGAATCCAATGTTCTTCCAAAATATCAAATGAAACTTGCCAATGCATGCTGACACACCATGTGAATTAGATGTACATTAAAATTAGATCTTAAATTTTATTGATTCCCAAGAAACATTAATTGAACATGGTGGTAGCCAGTGATGATATCCAGCCTTAGGAAGAGTGATATAAATAAAATTACTGTATTGCCAAATAAAGTGAAAAGACCCCCTAAAAGAATATTGAAAAACCAAGTTATCATGTCCAGTAATATTAGATATTAACACTCGGTGATTCCAAGAGGAATGAACCACTGAAAACTGGAGGTGACCAATGTTGGGAACTGGCTGATATACTATGAAGTGGAGGTTGTACTATACTTGAATTTGTCAAATATATTTTTATAGGAATGTTTCACAATGGTGATAAAAGACCAGTGGGTATAGTGGTAATATAATACAGTATATATATTTATACTAGTGAATACCATTAAAAATGAATGATACAACTACTTTACCAGAAACTTGAATGCTCTTCAAGTTAATATTTACAGAATTCACCCCAAAGTGTTAATCAGTATGCACAGATCCTCTCAAGTGAATCATAAGTCATTTACATTTAGGTTTATAAAGAGTACTATATCCTTCATATACAGTATAGCAATACTAACTGCACTAACCTGAAAATCCCATCCTTTGTCATCCAAGCGAACATCTGCTTGTTGATTACTATCCAAGCATTTAGCTTCACCAGTGTAATTGAAGTATACACTGAGTCCTTCAAAGAGCTCTTGCAGTAGAGCAGTTGGTACTTGTTCAGGGTTAGTCAAGTGACTGCATACCACCTGCAAAAAATCAGACATTGTAATTCTCCCAAAATTTATTTCTAGTGAAAACATACTAAAAACTAACTTTATTAAATATGTATGTAGCCAAAAAAAACTGTTTCTTGATCTCATTATGAAAATACAAATATTTCCAATTGTAAAAGTGATAAACACAAATTTTGCCTCTATCAGCTCATTAATAGGAGTTACTACAAATGTAGAATGTGAAACAGGTGAAAATCAGTCTGGTAAAAAAAAAAAAGACCAGGGTTTGATTCTATATGAAAAATAACTTTCTGAGTAGAATTATTCAGTTGTCCCCCTAAAGCAAGTTCATCTTTCTAGGTAGAATTGGGGTCAGGCAAGAGCAATACAACTTTCTGACACCAGTAATACAAGAAATTGTCAAATATACCCAACAGGGTTATAAGGAGCTCAAGGGGAAGCACTGGAGATCACACAATTCACCCCAGAATGATCAATAGAAGGAGCATTTATAACAACTCTAAATGCCTGTCCAAATCATGTCATGGCATCACACATGACCCCAACTGCTCATTTTCCTGCACAGCATTCTGCCCCACCTACAACCAGGTGGCAACACCATGCACACCTGATGGTTCCAAGATAATATTTGAAACCTGACTTTAAGTAGGGTAAAAATGAAACCTGAGTGGTTCATTGGTTAGTGTTTCGTACAGGGTCTTTTTCTTGACCAGGATAGAGAAAGGGCCTTGCAACCACATACTGCAGTAAAGCTAAGAAAATCCCAGCTCTGACAGGAAAAGGAGTAGGTCCAACCCAGTCCAAAACTCCCGCTGGAAAAATAGGCAACACCTTCTTCCCACTTCCTTCCAAAGAAAGATTAAACCCTGTGCTCCTTTGGGAGCATGAAATCTTCAAACACACTTCCCAAGGAAAAGGGAGGCACACCTCCATAAGACTTCATTCCTGCATTCTTTAGCAACTGAGTGAGAAAAGCTGAAACAACTTTAGAACTGTTTGAAGGCAGTGTAGTAATATAAGTTGAATGATGTGCAAATGACAAAGTTAACCCCAAGCTCACTTGGGGTTAACTTAACTCACTTTGACCCATTGGGTCAAACAACCTCAACTCACTGACCACCCTTGCACATATCATAAACCAGCTGGAATGTTTGAAAATTCCTGGAGTTGGTGACAGTGTCATCCTGTTTAACAGTTCATGGTCTTGTATATACACAGCTATCTTGCCTTAGAGGGTAACAAAATGCAATAGTTAAAAAAAAAAAAGATTCAAGTGAATAAAGATATTAAAATAAGTAAAAAAAATCACTACATTATTTGTCACTTTCCTTGGATGGGGAGACATCACCACAAAGAAATGGTTAAGTCAACAATAGAATATTAGATAGTAATAACTGATAGTATATAATCAATTTACTATTTTCTAAATATAAATGCAGGAATAAATTGTAGTATTTGAAAGTGAGAAACATTAGCACAATCTTAAATAAAAAAACTTATTCTTTGCTTTATAAAACTTTTTAACCAACCTTGATGGGGAAGGCAGGTAGTGGAGCCAGAAAATTAGCCGGGTATGGGTAATCTATCATTGCCAAGTTAGTCCATACATTTACCAGGTAATCTTTCAAAGCCTTGATATCCTCTTGTGTTTTCAGTGGCTCACAAAGACTCCAGGCATTTGTGAGCCATGTCTTTCCTGCGTCTGCAATGCATAACATGTTAAGTATATTTTTATCAATATTATGTATTCAAGGGTAAAACACCATTATACAGCTGTCCATGAAAGGTGATGTGTAAAATTAACTATTCCTTTTTAAAAAGAGGAAATTCACTGATAAATTTGTTGCCTGATTATTTGTCACTGTTCTTGGTCAAGCAATAGCTACCTCATCTACTGGTGCTGCAATCATTGATTTCATTTTACTCAAAAGTACAATTGTATGTCTTTAAAAATTACTTTAAACTATTTTGTAAGTTTAAAGCAAGTAATTTGTCAATGTAACTTGTTTAAATGTGCTGTCTGTTGACCAACTTGTACAATTGCTGATTTTTTGCCATGTTCCCCCATTTTTTTCTTTTCTTTTTTTTTAAATTCCTTTTTTCAACACAATTTATACTTTACTCCCAATTACTATTAAGTTTTAGTCTGTTTTTCCCCCACATCTTTCCGAAACGCTATGCGTATTAGTGGCTTTAAGTATTGTATGTATTAGCTCTATCTATAAATCCAACAGTATGTTTGTAACTCTGCATCTAAGTATGTATTTTTCCTGAATAAAATATTATTAGTATTATTATTGTTATATATTTTGTACAAAAAAACAGCATTGAACGTAATTAAATGCCATTTTCTGGGTGAGCCCCAGAGGCTCCCAGGAGCTATAGGACTGATATTAGCTATATTAGTCTGGGGTTTCAGTCATATGGAGTTGTCATGCCTACCAGGAACCACGAGCCAAAACCTAGCTCCCTCCAAGAGGCACAGGGAGCAACGGCCTACGTAAACTCCACTCTTTGAGATTATATTCATGTCTGCCATTGACTGGAATTAGGCACCCAGAAAGGTAGGAGCCCCAAAACAGACCCCAACTGGTAGAAAATTGCAACCATAAACTCTGAAGCAGAGGCTAAAAACTCCCCCTAAATAAAACATGGAAACAAGTAAATCGTCAATCTGACACGCCGCTCGTTCACCTCCCCCCTACCCCCTGAAAGGGGAGGGGGGAGGCCCCCGCCCCACCGAGCCGGCTGTCTGCTCACCAGTTTGGACACTGAGCATACGGAAGAAAAAATGCCAACCGGAGGGAGGGAGGATGCCAGGGAGCACCTTGGGCTCACCAAGAAAATGGCATTTCATTACATTCAACGCTGGTTTTCTGAGGGGAGCCCAGTCGGCTCGCTTTTGTTTGTTGAAAGGGCAACAGCCATCTACAGTATATATTCCAGTTTTCTAAAATATCATGTATGGTATACAGTAAATGAGTATACAGCAGATAATGCAAATCATATACAGTAATCTGATTATAACTGATAAATATTTAAGCGAATTTTGTGAAAGCATTATATTTTATTTTAAGCTGTGATTCATGCATGAGGCTGCGAGCAGCCACATCCAACAGCCTGATTGACCAGGTCACCAATCATAAGGCCTGGTCAGAGACAGGGCTGCGGTGACGTTGATCCTCAGAATCATTGCAAAGTAAGTCTTACAATGATCCTCGGAATCATTACAAGGTAAGTCTTTACTTAGATGACATATAACTTAGTTAAATGACAAATAATTTACTTATGACAAATCTAGGAGCAACAGCCCTTTGACCATCTACAGTATACCTTCCAGTTTTCCAAAATATCGTTTATGGTATACAATATATTCACAATGAGAATACAGCAGCTTCTGCAAACCATATAATCTGATTAAAATTGACAAATATTTAATTCAATTTTGTGAAAATAGTCTATTTTAGGTCTTAGATGACAAATGAAAAAATTTCATATCCAATATTGAACTACAATTATTTGCTTTCATATAAAATAAAAATCTCACCATCACTTGTAACTGAATCAATAGCTGCCCAGGATCTTCGAATTACTTCCGCACATTCCTTGGATTCCGTGGCAAAATCAGTTGTAACCAATTGGCCAAAATTTTCACAAGGTGTAATATCAATGAACTGTAGAATAGGGGCTGAGGCAGCTATGGCTCTAAGAGAAAAAAATAAAGAGTTAACAATCAAGTTCAAATTATGTCTAATTACTTAACAGAAAACTTAAATAGCAAATAATGTGAAAAATGTAGCAGCCCATACAAGTCCTGCACATGCAAATACAACATATGAGAAAACTAAATATCTAGAATATGTTTACAGTACTAAATCTAAAATCTAAAAATCTAAAAATCTTCACATGCCTTTCTAATACAGTAGACCAAAAGTAACAAGTATGTGATAAAATGACAAGGCCAACATTCTTACTGCTGCTTTATTTTGTTTACCTGAGTTTATCCAAGAGCTACTAACACTAGTGGCCTTGAGAGGTTATCTTGAGATAATTTCGGGGCTTAGCGTCCTGGCGGTCCGGTCCTCGACCAGGCCTCCTTTTTGTTACACACTCCCAGGAAGCAGCCCGTAGCAGCTGTCTAACTGCCAGGTACCTATTTACTGCTAGGTAACAGGGGCATCAGGGTGAAAGAAACTCTGCCCATTTGTTTCTGCCTCCACCGGGGATCGAACCGGGAACCTCAGGACTATGAATCTGAAGTGCTGTTCACTCACCTATCAGGCCCCGACGAGGATAGAAATCCGGTGGCTTGTTTAAGGTCCCCCGTGCCCTTCTTTTGCTTTTATGATCTTTTCCAGTTGAACTTTAAAAGTTGAGAGTTTTGACATTTACGGCTTTGGCAGGTAATCTGTTCCATGGGTTTATAACCCTGTGGGTGAAAACGTATCTCCTGTTGTCAGTCCAATATAGTGGCTGAGAAGGACAAGGAAATTGTCCTTGTCAATCTGTTACACTTTTTGTCACTAAGATTCTTCCCTTTAGGATGAACTTGGCTCCCAGGATGTTCTCCAAGCAGACCAGAATGGTGTACTGGGAGCTTGGAACCGTTGCTTCTTGTTTGTGTTACATCTGACCTTTTGAAGAAATTTTCTGGATCAACATCCTCCAAACTGTTCAGTATTTTAACAATTTTAGTGAAATCTGCCCTGTCATGCCTGGTTTGCAGTGTTGTTAGCCCTGTGGCCCTTTGTGTTAATAACCTCACCACAAATTTTGTTTTTCTTCACACACCACAATTTATGTATTTAATCTTTAAATTCATCTCAACACCACCATTTTTAACTTTCCATCCTTTCTCATATCTAGTTAACCAAAAGAATCTACTAAATGAATGCTCAAATACAGGTTAGACATTTGTCTTAGTATAAGGCCAATACTATAAGGCTAGAAATTTACCCAGTGATCTTGGGAGATCTCAGCAGTGCCGCACTCGTCATTCCTGTCAGCCCTTTTATGGTTAGCTCCATTGACGACATGGTACGGTGAACATGAACATACTTTTTGGAAAGCCTCAACTAGAAAGACAAAGGCTTTCCTGGTGGTTTCTCTGGGCTTGGCCTAAATCAAATTTCCTTGTCCTTCTCAGGCTTTCCTAGACATGGGGCAGCCATTTACTCCATTACCCTACTAAATGCTCGTATTCAGGATATATTGGACAGGGGTGTCATCGAGAAGACTCATTCTCTCAGGTTTCAGTCCCATTTCTTTACCATAATCAAGAATTCACCAAGAGATATAAGAGACATATGATACTTGAATCATCAAGGGTCAATGCTCATGTCCCATGTCTATCATTCAGAATGACATGTCTGCTTTACCAAGGGATCTTGAGCAGCTCCTGCCTCATGTTACCTTGAGGTTACCTTGAGGTGTTTTTGGGGCTTTGTGTCCCCACGGCCCGGTCGTTGACCAGGCCTCCAAGCATGTCATTGGATCTCCAGAATGTGTTGTATGAATATGTTCATATCCATCTGAGGTTTTGGGTTTGTTTGAGGTTGAGCATCTGTTACACTTTTTGTCATTAAGATTCTTCCCTCTAGGTTGAACTTGGCTCCCAGGATGTTCTCCAAGCAGACCAGAATGATGTACTGGGAGCTGTGACTCTTGGGATCAGTGTCTTCACCCGCCTCAATTCAATAGCTCCCCGTCATCAGCTGTGTCTAGCTCAGAATTTTGCATTCAAACAGTAAAGTCATTTCAGAGCTCTTGTGAACGACTCGACATCTCGGCTTCTCTGGTTTCAACATATCCAGTGACTAGGACACCAAGGCTGCCTCTATCTCCTTGCTGGATGCAGCCTTGGAAATGTCTGCTTGTGTGTCAGGTTCAAGTTTCTCATCAGACATCTTTACTTTGCAAGTAAAGTCAATATTTTGGGTCATGTTTAGCTGAAAGTATTGTACCAGTTTCTTCAGTTGGTGACCTGCTGCCACATCACCTTTGTCATCATATCCCCTTGTCACACATTGTCACACATTTCCTCCATGTTTCTTGGGGTGCCATTTTTAGAGGCTTCCACTAAGTCACTCAAGCTGTTTACTGGCATCCTCTGAAGGTCAAAGCTGTATATCCAGTCACATCAGGGTCAGTGGACTCCACTAATAACATACAGTACTGTCACATCAACATTCAAGAGATTAGAGCTGAGTGAATTGCAATGAAATGTATCCCAATTCTAAGGGGTGTTGCTACCAATCTACACTGACTTCTACAGTGGTTTTCTGCCTCAAGTGCAGGGGATTGTCTAAGTCTCTCCAGTTGTGGCTTTGGACTATTGTCATACTGTTATTTCAGGCTTCTTGGGCATTAACCTAGTTCACTTTTATGGGATTTTGAATGATCTTGGGAACAATCTCTTGTTTTCTTCCCCATTAGGATGGAACTTGAGACGAACAATGGCTCATTTTGCTAGATTTGCAAGTCCTCTGGCATTTTCCAGGTGGATATTTATGTGTACACTTAGAATTGCAAGCTGCTTGTTTACATGACTTGATTTACAGATTAAGATTCTTTTGTGTTGAACTCCCTTCATCTCCATTAATATCAGTGTGTTTAGTAATGATTTATTAGTTTCCTCCAATCCAGATGGTGCTGCCAGTCCACACCAAGTTGAAGAGCTTTGCGGGCTGCATGCTTCTGGAAAATCTCATATAGCTAGTCAAGCTCAGGTTCCAAAACGTATGTGTTATTTGTCTCCACTCATCCTCCTCCTCACACCTGATTTTCAACACAGAGGATCAGTCGCCAGAGGTTTGTGGTCTTCTCCAGGTTTCCTATCAATCTTTACATGTGAACTTTCTATTCCAAATCTACTGCCACTTATATGAGGCCAAGTGACATATCTCTCTTTACCATCTTTGGGACTCGTTCTGTCACTAGTATGAAGTGGCCTGCCATTCACTCAAGTTGTTTTAGGCTCTCTACCATCCTTGTCCATGTTGGCAACTCTGCTCACATAAATAATGAGCAAATTATTAGCAAACTGTCTTCTTATGCCTAACACAATCGCCTCATACTGGGCAGTTCTGGTGAATCCATTTTCATTTAAACAAATGCAAAATTACTATAAATGTTAATTTTTAGGACTCTCCTACCGATTCATGCTTGGCTTAACTCAGGAGACCGGACCGACTGCACGTAGGAACTCTTAGTGTTAAAATAAAAAATTTTATTTTTACTTTGAGACTTAATTGTTCGATCCCAAACCACATACCTAGGAATGGTAAAAGATTAATGCAGGACTTGTATGAGAAAAAAACATGAAACAATTTAGGAAAAATTTGATTTGAAAGAACAAAGTACACATTCTCTCACCCTTGCACAATGTGTGGATACTTCATACGGAACCAAGCTGCCAACATTCCTCCATATGATCCTCCAAATGTAATCACCGGACTCTTCTCTGCCCCCGAAATAGCAGTCTTCAAATAAGTAATCAGCTCGACATAGTCTGCTAATGCTTGCTCTGAAGTAAGGTAGCCAGTATACTTTGGTTCCTGAAATCATAATTACAATACAGTACGTACTGAATATATACAGTACCAAACTAAAATATACAAAATTGCAAGGATGGCAAAATAAAAATTCATAATTACAATTTATAACATTAAAATTTCAAGTTATTTACTTTAGAATGTTAATCATTTCATCAATGACCCCCTAGCATCTTAAATGGCTCTGCATAGACGTATAAAAACATTTTTGCAGCCCCGTGCTTGATTGTCATCCATCCTGATTGTTCATGATTCCTGTCTATGATAGATTCTTAGGGTACAGCCAACTGTGACTGCTCAGAAAGTGTTCTTGTTAGAACATAAGAACTTCTTGTTAATGTTAGTTGCAAATCCTTGCATTTAACATTAAAATTGAAAAAAAATAAAATTAAATTAAATAAAACTAAATATGCTCTATGCACTTATTTTACTTACACTGAATGATTCATTGCCATAAGGCATTGATACACCATAATATCTGTGTTCAGCAAATACTACCATGGCATTAAATTCTGGAGCGATGTCCCACATAAAGCCCTGTAGATGACAAAATTATTTTATTGGTGATGATTTAAATTTAGATGTACAGTAATATACTGTACTGTATGTTATAGCAATACTGTATATTTAAAGAATACATATATTTGTGAGTATTTCTGTAAACTACTTATGTAAAAAGCAGGTAACTGATTAAATGTACAGAGGTGCCATTATTTGTAGCAAATACAAAGCTTGACACTCTCATTAAGAGATCCACCTACACTAACTTTAATCTTGTATAACACACAAACCATATTGCTCAGTGTGTCTCACAATTTGGATACTTTTTGTATACTTCAGGCCAAAGATAGTTGGTAATGTTTTGAATACATTTCTAATGACGAATGCCAATGAATTGAATTTTTAATGCAATAAAACAAAGACAAATTAATGAATGCTTCCCCAACAGCAATCTTGACACATTCTAAACACTCATGATATGTCTTTCAATGCAAATGTTGTCTAATGATTAATCTCAAAATACAAAAAAACAAAGTTTTGTATACTGTACTGTACAATAGTTAACAGACTAGTTACTAAATACAGTATTAAAATCATATGAAGATATCTTTGTAGGTTGGAATGAATCACTGCAGTGCATAATAAAAAAAATATTGAAATGATTTACCTACCATGTTTGTATACAACGTAATTTAACCAATGTACAGTACACTTGTTAGAAATTAACATTGTAATTATAGAACTGCAAAGTTATAAACTTACTGCTGCAATTGAGTCTCATAAAAAACTCTTTAATCACCACCAACTTATTTTCCACTTTCACTGGGTGGACATACATCAATATAAAGGTTATGGATGCAGAACTTAAAATGACACTCATAAAAGCAAACCAATAAAATTATTAGAAGAAAAGGAGTAAAGGAAGAAAGGGAGTGGGAACATTCCATGGGAATGTTCTTGAAAATCATATATACTGTACTAATGTAGGTGGAGCAAGGTAAAAAGTATTGGAGCTAAATGATATAATGCAGCCTAAGATGCCAGAGATTGTTGCACTAACAGAGATGAAACTCGAGGATAATATTTTATATGAGGTCGTTTTCCTGAAGGGCTACAGTACTAAATTTGGAGATGTGACAAAACTTTGAAAAGGTGGAGGAGTTGCCAAGCTGGTGAAAGAATACCTGAGAGATGATAATTAATAATTGACAATCCATGAGAAGTTGGCATAATAGCACTGGTGATTTGTAATCAGGATTGTAAACTGATAATGCATGGTTGGATAATCATAAATGCCTACAGTTCACCAGCAAGTAACACATGGACAAAGGAGCTGAATGATAAGTGAGAGGGCCTTAATGATCATGAGAAACACTGTAGTAAGAGTAGATAAAGATAAATCACGATTGTTGGTACTTGGTAACTTCCACTTGAAATCAATAGACAGAGTCCTACAAAGCAGGAGCAGAGGATATTTGGACTCGCAGATTCGTAAACCTCATTCTGGAGACATTTATGTATCAACACATTAAGCAGGCTACAAGAATGAGGGATGGGGATATTCCATCAATTCTAGATTTGATATGCACCTGGAAAGAAGGAGATATGTTGACCAAACCCCACACTAGAAACTGAAGAGACGACAACGTTTCGGTCCGTCCTGGACCATTATCAAGTCGATTGTGAAGAGACGAAGGAGGCAAGGTCAATAAATAGGCAAGAGATAGGTGAGGAGATGGAAATCTTAGAGGAAGATAAGAGCAAAGCAAAAGGTACGGAAGGTAAGGTGTAATAAAGGGTGTAATAATAGGAATAAGAAAGGGATCGTAAGAGAAAACAAGAGAATGAAAAAGAAAGATAAAAGGTACGGATCGAAATTTCGTCGTCTCTTCAATTTCTAGTGTGTGGTTTGGTCAACATTTTTCAGCCACGTTATTGGGACTCTTCATCTGCAGAAGAAGGGGATATATTTGACATTCGGTACCTTCCTCTCTTGGGTAAAAGCAATCATGTTATTTTAGAAATATATGCTATGCATTATAATCTAAAGAGAATTGGGAAATGAAACAATTGAAAAACTTGATTTAAAGGGAGATCAATATGGGGAATTTGGTAAGTTCTTAAATGAATTTTATTGAAAAGATCTGTAAAGCAAAGAAATACTGTAAATGAGAGGTGTGTGTGCCAAATTTTGAGATATGATGAAGATACAAGAACATTTATACCAAGACAGAGATGCATAACTAGAAAGTAGGACAGGTTCAACATAAAATGTGAGCGGGCCAGAGAACAAGACAACAAAATTATATCAGTACAGGAATAGGCGTAACCCTAAATTATACCAACAATACAAACGAGCAAGAAACAACTACACAGCAGTGAGAATAGGCAGAAAGAAAAAGGAAATGTGTGAGACACTATATGAACAGTTCCAAAGTGTGTTTGCGCAAAATTAAGTTTTCAAAGAACAAGACAATATGAATTTGAGAGAATAACAGAGTATATAGAGGGTTCTCGAGAAGACATGAAAAAATACTCAAGAAGCTAGAAACAAGGCAGTTAGTCAAGATTAAGTTTCACCTTGGGTTCTGAGAGTGTACATATCAAAGCTGAGCACCTCACTTCAATTGATTTTTCAGTCATCTTTGTGTACAGGAGAATGGCAGATACAGTATATGGTAAAAGGCAAACATAGTTCCAGTCTATAAAAATGACAGCTGGGAAGACCATCTTAATTATAGACCTGTATCACTGGCAAGCATGAGAATCAAAATACAGTACTGTACTAGGAAAAATAATTATAACTAGATGGGCAGAACACCTGGAGAGAAATGATAAAAAACAGACAGTATAGTTTTCGAAAAGGAAGATCCTATGCAACAAATCCACTGTATTTTTTTGTTATTTTTATATACAAGAAGATACATTGGGATTGTGAGAGTATATAACATTGTTTTCACATTCTTGCAAAGCCACTAATACGTAAAGCATCTTGGGCAGGTTCTTAATCTAATAGATTATTATTAATAGGTCCATTGTAGCAAAATTTGCATGCTGCAGGCACTAATATTGGGGAAGTGGGTAGCACAAGATACAGTGCGAGTATGAAGTTTCTATGATAGAGCCACAGAGATTTTACAGGAAAGAGATGTTTGGGTTTACTGCATCTATCTGCTCCTAAAAAAATCTTATGATAAGAATCCCACCTAAGAGGTTGTTTTGGAAACTGGAATATACTGGAGGGGTGACAAGGAGACTGCAGACATGGCTGAAAAATTTTCCGACAGAAAAATAAGTGCAGAAATCGGAGGCAATGTATCAAACTGGAGAAATGTTACAAGCGAAATACTGTACCACGAGGTTCAATTCTAGCACCAGTAATGTTAATTTTCTATATTAATGATGTACCAGAAAGGATACTGTACAGAATTATCTGAACATCTTTGCTGATGATGCCATGCTACCAGGGAAGAGAAAAAATGATTGTCATGATTGTCATACCCCTTCAAGAAGACCTGGACAAAATAAGTGTATGGAGCAACACTTGGCAAATGGAATTTAATGTGAATAAATGCCACGCTATGTAATGTGGAAGAGACGACAAGAGGCACACGAACCCTACAAATTATGTGAAAAAGCTTTAAAGAACTGTGATAAAGAAAGAGTTTAGGGGTGTTTCTGGATAGAAAATTGTTAACTGAGGACCAAATAAAGAACATTGTGTGAGGAGCCCATGCTACACTTTCCAACTTTAGAATCGCTTTTACAGTAAATACTGTACTTGGATGGCGAAATATAAAAGAAACTGTTCATGACCATGGAAACAAAGCTGCAAAAAACATTTCAAAACACATTACACACAGAAATCACAATAGCGTGATGCATCAAATGAAGAAATTTGAACCCTCATCACGGCCCTTGTGGATTTGTTCATTTCAAAGCTCATGTTTGCACACACACAGTACATGGTTGGAAGAAGTTAAGTGAGGTGGTGGTGAATGCCAAAACTGTTAGTAGTTTCAGTCATATGACAGTACAGTCCTGTACTGGGAAGACAGTACACCATGAGAATAGCTCTCATCCTATAACTACAGTTGGATAATTATGTTTTAACATAGCTTTCAAAGCACAATAATAAACTAGCTAACAACCATGCAGTAAATCATTTATTCCCTACCAATTTCAGTGGAATGTTCATGATCCCCACTTTCTCGCACACATTTTGTTCCCATATCTGTCCACCTTCTTGGACTTTCTCTATTCATACCCTGAAAATCACCTTTATGTATTATCGTTCATTCATTCAATTTGATCAAACCGTCTTGCTTATCTTGAAATTGTTGACCTGTAAACTCCATATTGTTCCATGTCATTTTAGTTCATTAGTTGTAAATATTGAATGTTGCCTTATACTGTAGTAACTTACTGTATTATCAACAAATAAGGTAATGTCTCCTTCATTTCCTGCATAAAAGAATATGGGTCCACCATTACTGTCCCAAAACTCATCATTAATCAAGTATCGCTGGGTAAAGCTGTCAGGATCAGCAAAGCTAAAATGGTCCACCTGAAAATACAAAACAATATATAGTTTACAATATATAGTATTTTGTATTTCTTTTTTAACATTATTAGATAGTAATTAGAATAAATATGGAACTTAAAATACAGTATCTGAAGCAAATAACAGTAGCAAGTTAGCAAAGAACTTTAAAACAATTATGGATGAAGAAACTGAAAAGAAAATTCAAACTTGCAGTTGATAATCTACAGTACTAATGACAAGAAAAATGCGTTGGTTACCAGCACCTCTTATTGGGCAAGACTACACTTGATGCTAAAATACCAGTGAATTGTTTTGACATGCAGCAACATGCATTGGTCAATGCCAACATGTATTTTACACAATCTTTCATAAAAATAACTTAGTTGTAACAAGTTTCATTAAGCCAATGAAAGCACTGGCCTGCAAGATGCAACATCTTGTTCAAATTAACAATTAACAACAAATCTAAATATTTACCTGAGGGCCACTAACATACTAGTGGCCTCAATTAGGACAAGAAGCCGGCAGCTTGTCAAAGAAACCCCCCATTTGTCCTGGTGATTTTTTAAAGCTGGATTTTAAAATTCAACAGTTTTGGCATTTACGGCTGTGGTGGGTAGGCAGGTCTATGGGTTTATAACCCTATGGGTGAAAAACTCTGTTTTCAGTCCTACATTGTGGTTTCAAGAAACCATTGCTCCTTGTTTGTGTTATATCTGATCTTTTGAAGAAGTTGTCTGGATCAACATCCTCCAAACTGTTCAGTATTTTAAAGGTTTCAATGAGATCTCCCCCTGTCATGCCTGATTTGCATTGTTGTTAGCACTGTGGCCCTCAACCATTTCTATTATGGGAGTTGACTTAGTCCTGTCAGGTAATCATTCCACAAATATTAAGTAAGTCTAACTAACAGATTTAGTTGAGATATAATGTCAGCTTTGGTTTAGCTAAATTAGGAAGGATCAAGCTCGGCTGGATCTGGCTGGGTGCCGAACTGTGCCGTATCTGGCTGGGTGCCGAGCTGTGCCGTATCTGGCTGGGTGCAGAGCTGTGCCGTATCTGTCTGGGTGCCAAGCTGCACCATATCTGGCTGGGTGCCGAGCTGTGCCGTGTCTGTCTGGGTGCCGAGCTGTGCCGTATTTGTCTGGGTGCCGAGCTGTGCGTATCTGGCTGTCAAGCTGTGCTGTATCTGTCTGGGTGCCGAGCTGTGCCGTATCTGGCTGGGTGCCGAGCTGTGCTGTATTTGGGTGCAGAGCTGTGCCGTATCTGGCTGGGTGCCTAGCTGTGCCATATCTTGCTGGGTGACGAGCTGTGCCATATTTTGCTGGGTGCAAAGCTGTGCCGTATCTGTCTGGGTGTCAAGCTGTGCCGTATCTGGCTCGGTGCCGAGCTGTGCCATATCTGTCTGGGTGCCGAGCTGTGCCGTATCTGGCTGGGCTGGGTGCAGAGCTCAGCTGGGCCAGGCTGGACCAAGCTCTGCTGGACTGGGCTAGGCCTAGCTCTGCTGGACTTGGTTGGGCTGAGCTCTGCAGGACCAGGCTTGACTGGGCTCTGCTGGACTGGGCTTGGCCGGACGCAGCTGGACCAGGCTTGACGGGGCACAGTTGAACCAGGCTGGGCCTAGCTCTGCTGGACCAGGTTGGGCAGAGCTCTGCTGGACCGGGCTTGACCGAGCTCAGCTGGACCGGGCTTGACCGAGCTCAGCTGGACCGGGATTGGCCGAGCTCAGGTGGATTGGGTTTGGCCGAGCTCAGCTGGATTGGGTTTGACCGAGCTCTTCTGGACCAGGCTTGTTTGGGCTCTGCTGGACTAGGCTTGGTCAGGCTCAGCTGGGCCAGGCTCAGTTGGACTGGGCTTGGCCGAGCTCAGTTGGACCAGGCTTGACGGAGCTCAGCTAGACTAGGCTTAACCGAGCTAAGGTGGACCGGGTTTGGCCGAGCTCGGCTGAGCTCGGCTGGACCGGGCTTGGCCGAGCTCAGGTGGACCAGTCTGGGCCAAGCTCTGCTGGACCGAGTTAGGCCAGGCTCTGCTGGACTAGCTGGGCTTGGCTGGGCTCAGCTGGACCGGGCCTGGCCGGGCTCAGCTGGACCGGGCTTGGCCGAGCTCAGCTGAACCGGGCTTGGCCGAGCTCAGCTGGACCAGGATTAGCTGAGCTTAGCTGGACCGGGCTTGGCCGAGCTTAGCCTGACCGGGCTTGGCCGAGCTCAGCTGAACTGGGTCTGGCTGAGCTCAGCTGAACTGGGTCTGGCTGAGCTCAGCTGAACTGGGTCTGGCTGAGCTCAGCTGAACTGGGTCTGGCTGAGATCAGCTGAACTGAATCAGGCTGAGCTCAGCTGAACTGGGTCTGGCTGAGATCAGCTGGCCGGACTTGGCCGTGCTCAACTGGAATGGGCTTGGCCGAGCTCAGCTGGACTGGGCTTGGCCGAGCTTAGCTGGACTGAGGATGGCCGAGCTCAGCTGGAACGGGGTTGGCCGAGCTCAGCTGGAACGGGGTTGGCCGAGCTCAGCTGGAACGGGGTTGGTCGAGCTCAGCTGGACCGGGTTTGGCCGAGCTCAGCTGAACCGGGCAGGGCCGAGCTCAGCTGAACCGTACTTGACTGAGCTCAGTTGGACTGGGCTGGGCCGAGCTCAGCTGGATCGGGCTGGGCCGAGCTCAGTTGGACTGGGGTTGGCAGATCTCAGCTGAACTGGGGTTGGCCGAGCTCAGTTGGACTGGGGTTGGCCAAGCTCAGCTGGACCGGGGTTGGCCGAGCTCAGCTGGACCGGGGTTGGCCGAGCTCAGCTGGATCGGGGTTGGCTGAGCTCAGCTAGACCGGGGTTGGCTGAGCTCAGCTGGACTGGGGTTGGCCGAGCTCTGCTGAACTGCGCTGGGCCGAGCTCAGCTGGAAAGAACTTGGCCGAGCTCAACTGGACCGGGATCAGTTGGAATGGGCTTGGCCGAGCTCAGCTGGACCGGGATTGGCCGAGCTCAGCTGGACCGGGATTGGCCGAGCTCAGCTGGACCAGGATTTGGCCGAGCTCAGCTGGACCGGGATTTGGCCGAGCTCAGCTGGACCGGGATTGGCCGAGCTCAGTTGGACTGGGGTTGGCCGAGCTCAGCTGGACCGGGATTGGCCGAGCTCAGCTGGACCGGGATTGGCCGAGCTCAGCTGGACCGGGATTGGCCGAGCTCAGCTGGACCGGGATTGGCCGAGCTCCACTGGACCGGGATTGGCCGAGCTCCGCTGGACCGGGATTGACCGAGCTCCGCTGGACCGGGATTGGCCGAGCTCCGCTGGACCGGGATTGGCCGAGCTCCGCTGGACCGGGATTGGCCGAGCTCCGCTGGACCGGGATTGGCCGAGCTCCGCTGGACCGGGATTGGCCGAGCTCCGCTGGACCGGGATTGGCCGAGCTCAGCTAGAACGGACTATGCACATGTGTTGGTAATATACTTGTACGTGTTTATTCATCAAAAAACTTATGCTATCAATACTTTATTTAATGAAGTTTACATATTAAAGTTTCAAATATTGACTTTCACTATTTATACACCGAATTTGTTTATACCGACCAATACCCAAATTTATAATACATATAAAAGCAGCCAATTACGTTACCAACGTAATTGGCTGCGTGTGTGATCCTATTGCATAATTATTAAAAAAAATGCCAGCAACTAACCTTCTGCTTATAAAAATATGTATCATAGTCATAAGCATGACAGAAGCAGAGTAAAACGGTACATAAGAGAGCGTTCAGCAGCATCTCGCCAACACCCTTCCCCCGTGAGCACCAGCACTGGACTGAGAGGCTGAGAGCAGGGTTGCCAGATCCAAATTGCTGAAAGTAGCGAGCTGACGGTCGCCACTGACTTTCAATTTCACTAAGCATAGATTGGTCAGCTAGTACTTACGGAAGTTCTGAAAATGGTGGCCGTGTGTGGCTAAGGCATATGATAGGTGACAGATTTTTCATCTTTTTTAAAGTTTCAACATTACGTAGAATATAAGAAAGAAATTATTTGCAAGCTTTCACTAAAAAATATGGCATCTTTCTTAAATATTTTAAAACTTTTTTCTTGGTTATAAAATTGTTTTGTCTGTTATGTGGCCCGAAGTGTTGTAAATTCATAGCCAAAGTCAACTTTCTCCAGAGGCAGATATGTGAATTGTAGTCCAAATTAACATCAAGCTTTGCATGATCAGGATGCACGATTCTTCTGAGTATTCCAAGAGTGAAGTTTTCTAAGACAGTGTGAAGGCTACACTGATCTCCATCTTTTTGATAAAGTCAATTCATCCTTTCAAAATCATTTACGATTGGTTTGAGACATGTGAAATATAGCTTATTGAAGGGATCAGATTACATTGAAAATAGTTGCCTTGCAACATATTTATCACAAGAGGAAAAAGCTATTTGGTAATGAGTTGTTAGAGAATCCCACAGATAACAGCCTACACTATTATTACTTGCCAACCATCGTCTTCCTGACAAAGGTATTAACTATAAGGGATCTTTTCCATCATTTATCAATCTGTAAATTTCTAGATAACTTTCTCTCCTTAATGAAGATCTGTGGAACCAGCTGTAGCTTTTGGGATGAGGTATTAATGATAATTAAGGTTTGGATATCTATGGCCCCTGGGGAGGATTACCTTGCCTTGCGGTTACTTTTTCTTTCGAAGGTTCCTAGGATCAATGTCCCCAGAGGGCCGGTCTCTGACCAAGCCTCCTGCGGTAAGTGGTCTAGTCAATCAGGCTGTTGAAAGCGGCTGTGATTTGTACACATTATATTATAAAAACATAAATAATCATCAATGAGTTTCTTAATATTAGTAGCCCAAATTAGCCTAACTTGTTTTTAAATTAGCTAAAAAAAAGTAGCAAGTATCGAAATTAAACATTTGGGAGCGCGGGGCTTTCAAAAGTAGCCCAATTCGCTACTAGCCCAATATGGCACCGGCGCCCTGTTGACACCAGTCACGTCACAGTAGGTGGCTCCCACCACTATGGGATTTGGAGCGCATCCGATCCCTCGAGCGTCGTCGTATTAAATAATAATAAAAGTGTAGCAACTTTAAGAAGTAATATACTTGCTCCATATTCTCATTAGTTTAAGTGCAGATAATTAAATGTTCTTGTTAATTCCTCATAACTTATCTCTAAGATTTCCACATTCCAAGAAGTTCTACGTAAATCCTAGGCTCATTAATTACAATTAATACATCTTCCCAAGTGAACAAATAATTACAATTAATATCTCTTCCCAACCTGCTAGATGTTCAGCCCGTTGACCAGACCACACACTAGAAGTTGAAGGGGCGACGACGTTTCGGTCCGTCCTGGACCATTCTCAAGTCGAAGTCACAATCGACTTGAGAATGGTCCAGGACGGACCGAAACGTCGTCGTCCCTTCAACTTCTAGTGTGTGGTCTGGTCAACATACTTCAGCCACGTTATTGTGACTCATCGCCTTCAGCCCGTCCTGCAACGACCCAAAAGTGATTCCATGCACCCGCCAAACCCCCTGTTTATGAAAGAAAAACGGTTTACACACGACTCACAACTGCTGACGTTCAAACACTTCCGGAACAAGTGCTTCACTGACGAATTTTGTTCGAACCACACGCTATAAATGCTTCACCCACGTACTACAAATACAAATAATCGCCAACAGAACCTCTACACCTAACATAACCTATGCCTGTATATGCACAATATGCTAATATATTATAATATTAATTTATATTTGAGAAAATTCCCGTTTTGAATGAACAGCATGTGAAAATCTATGACAGCATCCGTGGGGTCGACCGCTGGATGTTGATGGACTTGAGTCGAGGACAGGTTGTAGATGTTGGTCAGTTTGGCCAAGGTGAGGAGGAGCTAATATAAGCCGCTGCATGCGGATCGTAGTTACGGGCTATTCATGCCCGTGCCACCTCTTGGGTGGCTTAATCTTTATCAATCAATCGGATCGTAGTCCACGGGAGACATCTCCCGTCACGCAGGGTGCAGTCGCACCTCCACAGATCTCCAGTATCATCTATTGATACTGGTAATGGCTCAGAAAGGCCTCCACTTACGGGCTATTCATGCCCGTGCCACCTTTTGGGTGGCTTAATCTTCGTCAATAGTCAATCAGTCGATCGTAGTCATTACGGGCTATTCATGCGCGTGCCGCACGGGAGAAATCACCATTTGGTCACCATTTGGTCCGGGAGACATCTCCCGTCACGCTGAGTGCACTTGCACCTCCACAGATCTCCAGTATCAGCTCTTGATACTGGTGATGGCTCGAAAGGGCCACCACTTACGAGCTATTCATGCCCGTGCCATCTTTTGGGTGGCTTCATCTTCATCTTCTTCATCTGTTTAAAACACGGGAGACATCTCCCGTCACGCTGGGTGCAGTCGCACCTCCACAGATCTCCAGTATCATCTATTGATACTGGTGACTCAAAAGGGCCACCACTTACCAATTCATGCCCGTGCCACCTATTGGGTGGCTTCATCTTCATCTTAACACATTCACAAGGGAGACATCTCCCATCATGCAGGGTGCATTCGCACCTCCACAGATCTCCAGTATCAGCTCTTGATACTGGTAATGGCTTAAAATGGCCACCACTTACGGGCTATTCATGCCCGTGCCACCTTTTGGGTGGCTTAATCTTCATCATCATCATCGGGAGAAATCTCCCGTCCACGAGGCTCACCATAGCCCGTGCTTCTTGCCCCGCTCTTGTGCCAGGTAAGTTACGGGCTCGCCATAGCCCGTGCTACTTGGAACTTGTTCCGAGTAGCTGAATCTATAACAACAACATGCGCGTGCCACCTCTTGGGTGGCTTAATCTTTATCAATCAATCGATCCTAGTCAGTTACAGCCCCGCTTCCATGCCAGGTAAGTCCACTACGGGCTCATCATATCCTGTGCTACTTGAAACTTTTTATTCCGAGTAGCTGAATCTAAAATAATATTATCAGATCAGAGTCACCCTTGCGGGCTATTCATGCCCGTGCCACCTCATGGATGGCACGGGCATAAATACCACTATTGTTAATCAATCAATCGATCGGAGTCAGTCTAAACTCTTATATGGTTCAGTACAGATGCTTGAGAGATGCCGCACATCTTCAACACTCATTGTCATTCACCAGCAATAATGTAATAGTCGATGAGTCCAGTTCCTACCCTCACAAGACGCTTCAGCCTCTCTACGGAGCAGACAGCCAGATTCCAGTCCCATCGAGCTTCCACGCTCTCGTCCCGTATTCGAGCTCTTCGACCCCCCCCCCCCCCCCCGCCAGGAATAGGGGGGGGTCGAAGGTGCGGGGGCGGTCTTTGGTGCGCCCCCAAATGGGGACGCACCAAAGACTTATACAATTGAATCACTACCGTCTTTTGCTTAAAGTCAAAGGTACCCTTGATTATTCCAAAGGTTTGGTTAATTTTTTTGACTGCTGTTCCTACCTGCTGTGCAACTTTTAGTGAGTGGTGGATTTTGACTGCAAGATCCATTTCTTCATCAATCTGCTGTAATGGAAGGTTATTAATGTGGTAGTTGTGGCGTGGGTTGCTATGTCAAGAAGTTATTACTTAGTGTACAGCTCATATTTTCAATTTCCTGCATGTAGAAGGCCCTTGAGGGAATTATTCTCGATAAATCTGCACCTCAAATTCAAAATTGATTTGCTCATAACTTATATAGGGACAAATAATATAAGTAGCTTCAATGATCTCTAAACTGCTTTGATTCGGCATGCATGGTTTTGCATTTCTCGATATTAAAAAACATTTGTCAGTCTTCTGACCATATGTGGAGTTCATGTAGATCTCTTTGTAGGGCTCCAATATCATTATTATTATTTCCCACTTTACCATATAACTTTGTGTCATCTGCAAATTTAATGATGTGGTTTGTATTATATTATGCTATACAATATAAAGGAGATACTTGATGATGAGAGGCATAGACTACTTCGTCTGTAGGTCAAGCAAAAGTATACAGTTGCTATGTAACATAATTAACACCAAGGATATAGAAAAGTAATGTTTTAGTAGCTTTACTAAAACAAACAGTAAATTAGCAAAATTAAAAGGTTTAAATAGGGTAAACACTAAAACAAAGAAGGATTAAAATAATATATATGACTGAGTAAGCGGGGCAGGAAACGATGGGCGCTTTTTTATCTATTGCACCTGTTCACTTAGCAGTAAATAGGTACCCAGGAGTTAGCTTGTTGTTGTGACATAGTTCAACAGTAGATGTATTATCAATATAGTGATAAGCCTGGACAGATAAACCCCAGATAACATATCTCAGAGGCCGCTTCTATCACTTCTCTGTCCCTGACGACACCAGTAAGCGCCCAGGCATTGACGTTATATTGAAATAGCCTATCATTAATAGGTTAAGTACTCTGCGTTGAGGTTTGCCTAAGTCAAAGCTGCTGCTTTGGGCTGCTTTTTATTCCTTTGCAGATGACTGAGGCAATTCTGTCACTCAAGTCCCTCCCCCCCCCCTTCCTGATCTATGCCAGTACATTTCATTTGACACCAAACAAGTCTACTTCTTCTAAGATGAGTGCACAATTTGTCGAATCAAAGCAGTTTAGAGATTATTGAAGCTACTTATGTTATTTGTCCCTATATAAGTTATGAGCAAATCAATTTTGAATTTGAGGTGCAGATTTATCGAGAATAATTCCCTCAAGGGCCTTCTACATGCAGGAAATTGAATATATGAGCTGTACACTAAGTAATAACTTCTTGAAAGTCCCCATGGCACAGTGGTAACGCACTCGCTCTGCACTTAGTGAGCTATTTGACCTGGATTTGTATCCTGGCTGGAGAGGATTTACTAGGCACCAATCCTTAACTGCAAGTCTCTGTTCACCCAG